TTTATTCTCTCCACCATTCTCCACACACAGGCCTCCTTGCTGCGCTTTAAACAGAGACTCTGTATTCTCTCCCCCTTGGCCTGCAGTGCTTTTTCTCCAGGTCTTGGTATATCTCCTATCTTTATCTTCTTCGGGTTTCTGCTATGTTACCATTAGTCTACCTCTCCCAAGCTTCTTAACTGAGTTTCTTCTCTGTAGTGATTGTCACAGCTAGTTTTAAATTTTTTTTTAAAAAAATATTTTTGATTTTCCTTTTTAAAGAATAATCTCCATGGAGGCAGGATTTTTGGTCTGTTTTTTGTCACATGGCTAATAGTTGTCAGCACATATTTGAGTGAAATAGTAATTAAGACAGTTATTTGTCTTCTGTATCATTGTAGGAAGTGAGAATGCTAGTTTGCTGTTCATCTTGGCCTGCCATCCAGTGCTAGTTTGCTATAGTTGTGGGTCTGTCTCTGGGTGTGTTGCTGAGGTACAGGCATGTGGGTGTGCCTATGTGTACACCTGTGAGACACATGTGGACACCACAGCAGGACAAGGGGTGTCTTTCTGTATCGCCCTCTGCCTTACTGCCTTGAGACAGGATCTGCCACTGAACTGAAGCTGTCTAGTGTAGGCTGGTCGGGCAGTGAGCTCTGCGGTTCTGCCCATCTCTGCCCCACAGTGCTGAAGCTACAGACATGGACCAGCCTGCCTAGCTGTTTTACACAGGGGATGGGGATTCAAACTCAGGTTCTCATGCTTGCAGAACAGCTGTTCTTACCCCCTAAACCATCTCACCAGCACAAGCCCGTTAGAGTTCAGATTCATATACTAACAAGTTCTATATCAGAGCCTACCTAGAGTTAATTGCAGCAAAAATAGTAGCCAGAGGCATGTTACAGCGGTGTTTTCTCATCCTGTCGTTTTTGACAGATTATATGATAGGGCCGGGTGGCTGCATGTATAGTCAGTGGATTTGCATTCCTGGAGAGAGGGCGGGAATAAAGATATTCTAAACTGCTCTTTCTCCTTAGGGAGATACCATCTCTATTTTCAACATTGTCCTTTTGTGGGTATCATTGTACCTTTGCTTCTCCTACATTCTTCCCCCAAGTGCTGCTCTGGCTCCACCTAATCCCCATCTGTGAAGAAAAACACATTTGAGAAATGGGAATTCCATTTGGTCTGAGTGTGTGAAAGATGAGGACCTGTGGCATCACACAAGTCAGTCGGTGGGGAAGATAAAGGGGTGCCATAGAGGACTCATCCGTGTCCAGTTGTCCTGTGGGAATCCTGGCTGGGTTCTGGTAACGATGATAATGCATATGAAGCAACACAAAGAACCCCATTTCTTCACAAATCTATAGTATAATAAAGTCCTGCTTGAACACATCATCAGTAATTCATTTTGAAATGAATCCACTTCAATATTAATGAAAATGCTTTTCCACAGAAAAATTATAGAGAAGACTTAGCTAGAGATTAAGAAAAACCACATTGGTGCTTTAACTGGCTGTCTTGAGGAAACATTTGTCTGCTCAGTACTGAGCCTGGATCCAGTTGAATAGTTTTCTCTGTTCCATGTAGTGTGTTGAGCATGACCATACATACCACAGCAAAAGATGAAAACGTGAAATTCTAAATAACCCAGTTATAGCACTGGCAAGAGAGTCAAACATTTAAATATTAAAAACTGAGTGGATTACTCTGATTGGGGGATATATTTGGAAAGGAACTAATTACTTATACAGTGTATACATTGGTACACACTTGCTGCATTTGATTCCATAGAAATATTAAAAATGGGAATACTGGAGATTAGGAACACTTGCTTTTCCTGAGAATTTGAGTTCAGTTCCCAGCACCAATGTCAGGTGACTCCTAACTGCTTGTGACTCCATCTTCCAGGCGTCCAATGCCCCTATGGCCCTCTTGGGGACTTGTCCATATGTGGCATACACACAGACTTGTGTACGTACACATAAACAAATGTACACAGGGCTTGGTGGCATTCATTGTCAGTTTCAGCACCCAGGAGTCAGAGGCGGGTGGATCTCAGAGGCAGGAGGATCTCAGAGGCAGGAGGATCTCAGAGGCAGGCAGATCTCAGAGGCAGGCAGATCTCAGAGGCAGGAGGATCTCAGAGGCAGGAGGATCTCAGAGGCGGGTGGATCTCAGAGGCAGGAGGATCTCAGAGGCAGGCAGATCTCAGAGGCAGGCGGATCTCAGAGGCAGGTGGATCTCAGAGGCAGGAGGATCTCAGAGGCAGGAGGATCTCAGAGGCAGGAGGATCTCAGAGGCAGGCAGATCTCAGAGGCAGGCAGATCTCAGAGGCAGGCGGACCTCAGAAAGTTTGAGGCTATTCTGGTCTATAGAGTGTGTTCCAGGCCAACCATGGTGACACAGAGAGACCTTACCTAAAAATTAAAAAAAAATAAAAAAATCTAAAAGAAAAAAAGGAGAGAAACATAAAAAATGAGAGCCAGTGAAATGACTCATCTGGTAAAGGTGCTTGCCAGCAGGCCTGAGGTCCTGAGTTCAATCCCAGGAGTCCATATGCTGGAAGAGCCCCTGTTTCTGCAAATTGTCTTCTAACCTAATAATATATACTATATTGCTATGGTATAACTTGTGTGCTTTTCTGAAAGAATATAAAAGAAGTGATGACTAAAATTCCTATTTAAATATTTTCAGTTATACATTTTGCCACCTACAGGAACTCATTCAGAAGCCTTACTTTCTGCCACTATGTACTCATCAGAGAGAACTGTAATTCACTTTATGATGGAGCTCATTCAGTTACACTCGCTTGGCGGCTGCTGTGTCTCAGCTGTGGTGTGCAGGACATTAACAAGATAGAAATTCCTTCCCTCATTTACAGTTTAATGGAAGAAGAGGGATTTAATGACATTTTAAATTCTGCGGAGGTTAGATTTGCAGTCACGTTAGCATTGAGAACCATGCCAAATCTAGAAGAAATAAAATGTTTGGAGGCAGTGAAGGTATCTTTGGAGATGGGGAGATTACTGGGAGAGGGGAAGACTTGGAGAATGTGACTGACGTTGGTTTCCTGACTGGAAGGAAGGCAGATGTTTCTGGTGACATGTGTGAAATGCCATTGGGTCTTATTAAAGTTAAGGGGAATGGCAGTACATAAATGAATAAATAAAATTAAAAAAAAAATAAGATGGGCCAGAGAGATGGCTCAGTGGGTGAAAAGCGTTTGCTGTGCTCGCCTGATGACCGAAGTTCAGCCTCTAGGACCCACGTGGAGGTGGAAGGAGAGAGCCAACTCCGCAAAGTTAGCCAGTTATCCTCTGGCTTCCACACTTGTCACTCACACACGCACACACGCACGCGCGCACACGCATGTGGGGTGGGGATGAGGAGAGGACAGAGGATTATAGACTAGAAATCCAGGGTTAGAAACAGAAGGTTTCTATGAGGCAGAAGAGAAGAAAGTTACAAGGTTGTAGAGCACGTAATATGGTCCTTGTATTCGTACAGATGTTTGCGTGGATTCAGGCAGTTATCGCTCAAAGATGTCATATTAAAAACGTGTTTATATTGTGATGCACAGATTTGTTCTTTTCTTGTCCTTATTCCTCCAAAATACTGTATATTGTGTACCGACTGATACATAACATTTATACTGTAATATATATTAGTAACCTAGAGAGGGCTTAACGTATTTAGGATGATGTGGGCAGTTTTTAGGCAATACTATTCCACATCTGTTTTATTTTTACTTAAAGCTGTTGTTATGTGTACATGTGGTGGGGTGCATATGGAGGTCAGAGGACAACTTTGAGGAGTTGGTGTTTGCATTGTTTAGTTTGAGGCAAGGTCTCTCTTGTTCGGCCAAGCTATGCTGGGTTCTCCAGGCTCGCTGACTCTCACGCTTGTTTGTAGTTTGCTGTCTGCCTCCCATTTTATCTCTCTGGATGTGTCCTGGCAGTACGAACTCAAGTAGGCTGGCATGTTAGCGTGGGTTTTTTTTGGGTGGAACCCACTCCCCTGCTTTGTGCTGTTTTATATAAAGGACCTGAGTATCTGCAGGGGTCCCAGGACTAATCCATGTGAATTCAAAGGGATCACTGTAACTGGACATCAGTGATAAAGGAAAGACCACAACCAAGAGGCCTCTTAGTTTCCAAGAATTGAGATAAAACCTGCCAAATCAATGAATATGTTCTAAAGCATTTGAGACAGAAAACATGTCTTTGTTGGGAAAGTTTTCATTAACCCTTTGTCATCTTTTGCATACCTAATTACTACTTTTGACTGTGGCTTTTCACTCCAGTTTTTTGTAGTTAAAATGTAGTTATATCATTTTGCCCTTTCTCTTTCATCCCTCCAACCTTTCCTTAGCCTCCCCTTACTTCCTCTCAAATTCATGATCTGTTTTCTTTGATTATATTTGATCAAATCTGATCAAATAGTGTGCATGTGTGTGTGTGCACCTGTGTGCACATGCACAAATATATAAACACAAACACAACCTGTTAGGTCTGTTTACTCTTGCATGTATGTACATGATTTCTGGGCTGACCACTTGGTGTTGGATAATAAATTAGGGAGCTCTTACTAAGGAAGACTCTTTCTCTGTAGGTGTTACTTGCATGTAGTTCTTTGTCTAGGGGTGGGGCTGCCTGAGATTTAACCTCACCACATGTAGCATTTTTAAATAAGGGTAGTACCTCACTGTTTCTGCTGTGCTTTCAGCTTGAAGTTAGTTTTATGCTTTGAAAATGGAGAAAACCAAAAACAGTCTCTTCAGAGCTGGGACTAGGTGGGTTGCGTGTCAAAGAAAGGGGTAAGCATCTGGGCAACTGTGGAAGGAGAGAAAAGGGAGAAAGCGGTGGGCAGGCAAGTTAGGTCCATGTGGTTGTCTTCTGTGGTGAAGGGGGAAAAGTGGCCATTAGATTCTAATAAGAACCTCACTGCACTTCACATGTACGTATTTATCTCTCTCCTCTGTGATGAGTACTTCTGACTCCTTACCTTTCTTCTTACAGCCCAGTTCTTTTGGCTAGACCTATGGTCACTGCCGTGAGACTTCACTGCACACTTTCTCAAGTGTCTTCTTCATCTTTAATGTGTAATTCCTCACCATGGACCTGCTCCTTTAGCTAAGACATGGCCATCAATGGTAGTAGTAAGGTAGGATTACTTTACTGTTCTTAGTAAATTGCTAATGACTTTGATTTTTGGTTTGGCCTCTGAACCTGTCTGTAATAGTTTTGTGTTAACATTTTAGTGCTCTTTATATTAGATTATTATACTTCAGAAGGCTACTACCATTTCATGTGTAATTTATTTTTGTTTGTCATTTAATACATTTTGCATGTGGCACTTGTGATCAGATTAGTTTTTTCCACTAATACTTTTGATTGGCAGAATCTCAATATCCATATTGCTTTTTCAGCCTGTGTGCCTATCAGTCCTATATTTTCAAATGCCTGACACCAAACTCAGCATGCTTTACTTTTATATTGATTTTATTGAACTATATATTTTTTCTTTGCTCCCCTCCCTGCCTCTCCTCTCCTCTTTAACCCTCTACCATGGTCCCCATGCTCCCAATTTACTCAGGAAATCTTGTCTTTTTCTCCTTCCCCTGTAGATTAGATCCACGTATGTCTCTCTTAGGGTCCTCATTGTTGTCTAGGTTCTCTGGGATTGTGATTTGTAGGTTGGTTTTCTTTGCTTTATGTTTAAAAACCATTTATGAGTGAGTACATGTGATAATTGTCTTTCTGTGTCTGGGTTACCTGGCTCAATGTGATGTTTTTTGTCTCCATCCATTTGCCTGCAAAATTCAAGCTGTCGCTATTTTTTTTTCTGCTGTGTAAATGTACCACGGTTTCCTTATCCATTCTTTGGTTGAGGGGCATTTAGGTTGTTTCCAGGTTCTGGCTATGACAAACAATGCTGCTATCTATGAACATAGTTGAGCAAATGTCCTTGTGGCATGATTGAGCATTCTTTAGATATATACTCAAAAGTGGTATTACTGGGTCTTGAGGAAGGTTATTTGATAATTTTCTGAGAAATCGCCATACTGATATCCCAAGGGTCAACATGCTTTTCCTATTGAAAATCTCATTCTTTGTTCTGTTTTCTGTATTTCTGCATTCTGTTTCTAGAAAGACTCTGAAGTGTAAACTGAGACTGTGCTTTCATTCCTGGCCACCCAGATGTGAATCGTCACACAAAACTATATTAATTACAACACTGAGCCAATGGCTCAGGCATATTCCTAGCAAGCTCTTATATCTTAAATTAACCCATTTCTACTAATGTGTTTGTCATGAGGCTGTGACTTATGAGTAATGTTCTAGTGTCTTTTTTCTTCAGCAGCTACATGCAGTCTCCTTGAATCTCTCTGCCTACTTTGTATATCTCTGTTCAAGATTTCCTGCCTGGCTTTACTCTGCTAATCCATTGGCCGAAACAGCTTTATTCATCACCCAATAAAAGCAACACACATACAGAAGTACATCCCATATCACTGAAGTGTTTTGAAATTAAATTAATAATTAATTAAAAGGCATATAATACTCATTGTTGGGGACAAGCTTTATAAAGCATTAACTAGTATGTATTACAAATAGGCTGGTTATGGTGGTGCACATCTAAGCACTCAGGAGACAGAGGCAGGTGGATTGCTCTGAGCTTGAGGTCTGCTTGGTCTCTTGCAATTTTCAGGCCAGCCAGGGCTACATAGTGAGAACCTGTGTTTTATCCTAGCATGTCTATCTGTTATTTTCCGTTAAGTTCATTTTTGTATAATACCTAACCCTATGGTAATTTTTGTCTGTCTTCTGCTAAGTCATACCAGTCGTTTAAGTGGTATTTAAATTCAAGCAAACAAAAAACTGTTCATCTTTGAATTTTATTTTATTCCCTTTACACCCAAGAAACTCAAAGTCCTGTGAGCCTTGACGGAAGGAAAGAAAAGAGAAAAAAGAAAGCACGTCATATCTCATCTCCCCATGTCACTAGCAGGCTCTTCAGATGGCTCCTTACCTTAGGAAATCAGCTGTCTCTTTGCCTGAGCTAGCCCACCCTCACCCACTGTGGTCATCTGAGAGTGAGCCTCCAACTTCTCAGTGGGCCTCTGGAGCCCATATGACATCTAATTATGGGTTCACTAGCATATGACTTCAGGGAATTTATGGAAGCGAAACTAACTGGTCTTTACTTTTGTATCGTAAGTGGCTTTACTTTGCTCTCTCTTAAAAAAGAGGTCTTTCTTTTCACTAGTAGGAAATCTTCCTAGGATGTTCCCCAATGTTCTGGTTAGTATTTTAGTTTGAAGATTTTCCATTATTGTGTTAACACACACACACAGACACACACACACAATATTAAGCTTACTTGAATGTATCTAACTTGTGTAGACTCATGGAAGATTTCATTTATTTAATTTTTTAAAAAAAATTCTTGTGTATGGGTGTTTGGCTTGTGTATATATGTGTGAAGTACCTGAAGAGGTTGGAAGGGAACATTGGATCCCCTGGAACTGGAGTTACAGATAGTTGTGGGATGTCATGTGGGTGCAAGAGTGTTGAACATGGGTTCTCTCATCAAAGCATTTTTATACTGATACCTGAGGTGAAAACTGAACTTTAGTAGTTATTAAAATAAATAGACTTTGTGTTTATTTCTTATGAATTTATTACTAGCCATATCTTCCTTTGTTTCCTTTCTGAAGAATTAATTTTTTTTTAAAAATTTATTTTATGTGTGTGCATGTTTTGCCTGCATTCATGTAGGCATGTGCACTGTATGCATGCCTGCTGCCCACAGAGGAGAGGGTGTCAGATCTTCTGGAACTGGAGTTGCAGATGGTTGTGAGTCCCCGCGGTCCTCTGGAAGGAAGAGTGCTCTTAACTCTGTTCCTTGGAAAGGGCTTTTAGGTGTTTTGTACAATAAAGAGTTAATGTTTGTTGTTTGTCCCTGTGTAAGAGACATTTGATTAGATGTCTTGAATCTTACTTTTTGTCCTATTGGCCTATAAGTTTTCTATTTTCATGTGGTTATTTTCTTAAAATTTATTTTTAAGGTGAAAAGAAAAAAGAAACTGTGTGTGCATATATGTGTGTGCACACATATGAGTTTTTATGTGCTTGTGTGCCTGTGTGTGTGCGTGTGTTTGTGTGTGAGCACAGGTGCCCATGGCCTTCAGGAGAGGGCATTGGATTCCTGCAACTGGACTAACAGCATTGGTGCTGGGGACAAAACTCAGGTCCTTTGTAAGAGCAGCCATCTCTCTGGCCTTTTTATATTTGAGTTGTAAGGTTGAGAGATTAGGGCAGAATATGGGGACTTAAGTGCTGACTTGTACCGTTGGAGCTTACCCAAACCTCTCCTTGACCCTAAAGCAACTGTGTGACCTGACCAGCTGACTCTCAGGAATTTGAAGGCTGGTCTGGTCTTCTTCCCCATGCCTCAGTAACACTGGGTTCTTCTCATTCTGTCTTCTGCTTTAGTGTTTCATTTTGACAGTGCGTCTTGCTACAGAAAAACTAAAGATGCAGGACAATGAATGTGGGTCTATTGCTTGTCATTTAGATTCCCTCTAACATTGGTGCGTTTTCATTCTTTACGTATTTATGTAGTTTGAAAGTATATTAGGACATCATAACTAAAGTCAGGCATTGTGGTGCATGTCTTTGATCCTAACACTTGGGACAGAGGCAGTTGGATCTTTGAATTCAAAGCCAGCCTGGTCTGGTCTATAGAATGAGTTCAAGGACAGCAAGGGCTACACAGAGAAAACTTGTCTCAAAAAACAAACAAAACAAAAACACCATAACTAAAATCGTTAGCATACAGATCCTGCAGATAAGGATAATTTTCCTATATAATCGTTCAGTTGAGGTCAAATATAAAATTTAACATTAATTAAGAAGTACATTTTATGTTTGTTTTAATCTATTTGTGGTGCTGTAATGAACACCTTGTACTAGGTAAAGTATGAACAACAGCAATTGGGTAATCACGTTTCTGGAGGTTTGGAAATGCTGTATCAAGGTGTGCTGGCAGGTTTGACAGTGGATGAAGGCTTGTTCCTCATATTTCACACTGTTTTGAGTTTCTTCAAATCGCAGATGGAAGGGTGGGGAGCTTTTCCCTGAAGCCTGTTTTTAGTGAGCATCAGGCTTGTCCTTGTGGGGAACCCACTCATCTCTTCCTGTATCACCTTGGAGGTTGAATGCCAATGTAGATTTTTGTTTGTTTGAGAGCCAAAGAGATTTATTTATAATTATTATTTTTTGATATTATAATGTAATTATATCATTTCCCCTTCCTTCATCTAAGCCCTCCCATATATCACTCCTTGTTCTCTTTTAAATTCATGGCCTCTTTTTCAATAGATTGTCATTTCATACATGTATATGCATATATATTATTAAATACATAAATATAACCTTGCAGGTCGTATAACATTATTTATATGTATGTTTTTAGGGCTGATCATTTGGTATTGGTTATAGCCAATTAGTGTGCTCTTCTCTGGGGGAAGACTAATCTTCTGCTTTCTGCATTCTTTGGTTGCTCGTAGTTCCCTTGTGCAGGGTTGAGGCCTTGTGGGCTTTCTTTCATCCACTTTGGCATGCCTGTTGTTGTCCTTGTTCAGCTCATGTTTAGGCGGTCATGTTGGTGAGACTTTACGGGTGTACCTTCTGCTGTTTCTAGGAGACACAGTCTCACAGCAAACTCCCTCATCCTCTGACTTTTACGGTCTTTCTGTTCCATTTGCACAATGTGCCCAGAGCCTTAGATGTGGGAATGTTTTATAGCTGTATCCACTGGGGCTGGACTCTACGACTGCATTTTGACTTGTTGTGGTTTTCTGTGATGGTCTCCATCAGCTGTAAAGAGAAGTTTCCTTGTTGAGGGGCTAAGACTACACTTGTCAACGGGTATAGCACAAATATTTAGAATGTAGTCAGGGGTTGTGGTAGTTCAGTAAAGTGGCAGTTGTAGGTCAAACTGACTTCACTAGCCGTGGGTAGTTGCTAGGCTTCTAGTACCAGGTACAATCTCCCTCTTGTTGAGCAGATTCTGAGTCTAATGAGAGAGCTGCTGGTTATTGCCACGGTATGTGTGACTCTACTCTACCCCTAGAGTGCTATACTTGCTGTTGTTAT